TCTTCTCAGCCTTCTGTTAAATCGCTGGCTTTCTAATTGGGCGACAGCTGGGGAGAAGTCCTGCTGCTCACCCCCCACCTCCCTTCCCGGCGCCCCCCTCCTCGCTGCCCCCGGATGCCCTGCGCCTGGCGCCACCCTTCACGCTCCTGTAAGGGATGCGAAGTGAACGCCCCAAACCGCATCTGTTACCACCTTTCACAGAGCGGCCTCCCAAAGGACGCCTGTTAGCAACGCCTGGGCGAAGAAGAGATTCCTGCTGCCACCTTCTGGGAAAATGAATAAGCAAAGTCAATGTTTGCTTGGAACCCAAGCGGAAAAACATCTTGGGATCTTGCTGATGATTCCTCTTTTCATTAATCCCTTTAAACCATTGGACCCGTGTTTGAAATCTCCAGGGTAGGAATAGCATCCGTTTTAGGTCTTAATCAGCCACTGAATTCTACCGCTTTCGCTTGGCTGCAAGTTCTCCAATGATTCCCAGGAGATTAGAAATTGTTTTCCAAAATATATTTATTGAATACCTTTGGGGAGAGGGTAACTCAGTGGTAGAGCGTATGCTTAGCATGCACGAGGTCCTGGGTACAATCCCCAGTACTTCGATTAAAAAAAAAAGTACATGAATAGACCCAATGATTTCCTCCCTCCAGGAGAACAAACAAACAGCTGTAAATGCGTTTGGGCACCTGCAGTTTGCCATACAATGTGGAAGGAGCCTGGAACAGGCTTGGCCTCTCCTCCAAAATTTCATCATCGAGAAAGGGCACAGGAGCGCAAGATAAAGGGCAGAATCGGGGCGAACCGATACAGGTAGACAGTTACTCATATTTAACACATTCTGACCAGAGACACATACATTTTGGAAACAGAAAGCAAAGAACGAGGCCGCCGGAGAAAAAAATTTTGACAAAAGCCTATGCAATTAAATCCCACGTAATTAATTAAACAAGGTTCCCTTAGCCCAGAGTCTAAGTTTTCCTATATTATATTCTTTCTGTCATGAGCATGATCATTTTTTTTTTACTGTCACATTACATGTTATTTACTTCTTGGCAGCTACTACCTAGATAATATGTCTTTGTGATCGCCTTCGGTTCTCATTCCACTGTCTCCGGAATACTTGTTCTTTTCTCTGTTTCTGTGTGTTTGTGAGGCCGCAGGAGAGGATGCTAAGCCCGGGCCTCACAGCAGAAAACATAAAATAAGACACTTAATATTCACTTTCTTGGAAGTCCTCTCCGCTCCAGACGAAGGAGGCTGCTGCCGCCCCCAGGACACCTGAGCCGGGCGCTGCGTACCTCCCGCCTCCCATTCTTTTCATTCCTCCAAGATTGCCTCTGGCCATGTCCTGGAGGCAAGCGACAGTATGCTATTACGATCAGTTTTCCTATTGTCCCCTTAGCAGAATCCACCCTTCTGCAAAGATTGCAATTTATTTAATTTATTTTTTTATTTTTCTCTTCTCCTGGTTTTTTTTGTCCCCCCCTCCCCGGGGGGGGTGTAATTAGGTTTGTTTGTTTATTTGTTTGTTTGTTTATACACCTTAAAAAATTCTTTCCTTCCAGTTTTTTAAAAATTGAGATAAAATTGACAGACCGCATTGTATGGGGGGGG